AATTTAGGCTAGCCCGCTGCCCTTTCGCGGGCTTTGCCGCATTTTCTGCCGTTCTCACGTCCCAACATGACTCCCCTTCTCCGCTGTCTGCCACGCTGGGAGAGCGAAGTGACGTTTAACCCCTCTCACCAGGTAGCGGATGTCGACTGTGGCGCTGTACGCAGGGTCTCCCGCGAGGTCTTGCACGCATGCGTCAGGAGCGGGTCAGATACTCTCCGGGACAGCTGATGGTAAGCCACGCAATCTTCCGTCCGTTGACTCCCGTCGCTCAGGGCTCGTCGGACTTCGCTGACGGCGCATCGGGCCCGAGGCGAACGCTCACCTTTTGTTGCCCCTTTGCGTACGCTCGGCTGAAGGGTGGTATGGTGTGTTAGTGCGTGGCCAGGCTACGCCGACCCGTCTCCCTCTGAAGCCAATGCGAGCGCCTTTGCCTGCGCTCGAGCAACTTGGCCTTCGTGCTGTGTCTCAGTGAATTACCTTTACCACGGAGGAGATGTGTTCATGGCACCCTGTGTAGTGCTTTTACGACCGTGGCGTGAATAAGCCCATTTGCCTTCCCGCTGCGCCTTTGCAACGGGCTGTAATGCGTTTGGTGTTGCCACAGACAATAAAGTGTTGCGACCTTCAGCAGTACCGTGTTCTCGTCACGGCGACGGTTAAGGCGTGCCTTGCGGCTCGCTAAGACCAGACCCACGCTAGTGGCCGTACTCCTTCGGGATACGTGTACACTACACTGGCGCCCAATGCGGTATCACTAAGCTTTTGACTGCTCTTAGCAAGTCGGTTCGCCTGCGCGATTCGGGCTCGTCGCAACATGTCTGCTTCGTGGCATGCCGCATTGAACAAAGAGGCCACGGCCTCTATCGACGGGTACCGAAGTCCGTGTCGTCACCCCTTTTTGTGGTGAATACACAACCTACGTAGTAGCTGATGCACTATCTCATGCCCCCTGTTGTCTGCCGAGAACCTGGAATTCGGTGCGACGGCCACTTGCGGTGCCTTAGCACATGCAAGCGTCGGGGGCGAAACAGCGGTGAAAAGGAGGAGTCCCCATGAGGACGGCCTTGGCTGCTATCCAGGTAAGCGGCGCACTGCGTAGCGGCCGAGCGGGAGAACTTTCTGAAGTCCACTGTGCTGAGAGCGAACCCGTGACACCGTGCACGCGGCGGTTGCTACGGTCCTGAGTGGGCGCAATACCAGACTCCCCCCTTTGGGAGAATGGGAATCACTTTCAGCAGCGAAGAGCTACTGAAGGCTCAGCAAAGTGATCCGTTTCGAGTCTCGGAGGGACATAGCACCGTATATGCTGCTTGCTCTGCGGCGGGGGCCAATAACTACCATCTCGAACAGGCGGTCGTTATTCAAGAAGAGAATCAAGAAAAGAAAATGGACATGGGCCGGGCATGTAGCCCGGCCCATGTCCATTTTCTTTTCTTGATTTCAATAAGGATATCATAGTTCAATTGAAATCAAGAAAAGAAATTGGACATGGGCCGGGCTACATGCCCGGCCCATGTCCATTTTCTCTGCTTGATTTCAATTGAACTATGATATCCTTAACCCCCGTTTGTTCCCTAATCCACTCTGCTCTCTTCTTGTCTCTTAAGGTTACACCTACCATTTTTCTTTCCATTGCTCGCTGCATCGTCCTCAATTTAAGCTGAACCCTCTTTGTAAGTCTCCAGGTTTCTGCTCCGTAGCTAAGTACCGGCCCGTGGCATGGATAAGCCCATTTGCTTTCCCGCCGCTCCTTTGCTACGGGCTGTACTGCGTTTGGTATTGCCACAGACAATAAAGTGTTGCGACCTTGAGCAGTATCGTGTTGTCGCCGCGGCCACGGTTAACGCGTGCCCTGCTGCTCGCTAAGGCCGGACCTACGCTAGTGGCCGTACTTCTTCCGGATACGTGTACACTACATAGTACAGTGCGTGCTGTCCACTGATCACTATGGGCAGGCACAGATATATGCGCAGAGTTGCCCCAACAAGATGTGTGCGCCTGTCCATGGTGATAACTGGACGGCACGCTCTGTAACATCACGAAGGCTTGCCGCTGTCTGGGTTTATTTGACGTGGATAGTTCATGCCATGTTTTCGTGTCTGTGTCATGTGATCCTCCAGCTTAGATACCTAAGAGGGCTTGGAAGGAATCATTGCACAGGCCACACGGGGAGAGTGGCTAAGGTTACAAGTTTGCCTTCTTGTATCATGATTGCGCGCCACTTCAAAATATTGGTTTTCACGGCTCGCAATGAACGGATTACAGAATTCTGTAGTACAGAGGAACCTCGATTATGCAACTTTCAGGGGACCATGCAAAACTATCAAACAATTCGGGCATTGTACAATAATAAAAAAAAAACTAAGTTTACAGGCAAGGACACTCAGCCTTGCCCAAACAATGAGTAGAGGCTGCCTGAATAATCCCACAACGCGACCTTGTGCCTCTGCAAGGAAAGTAGATCGAATTATTCGTGCCAATGGCTGCATTACTTAGTTGAAGGAAGTGTGAGCGAATCTTTATTCTCAACCTTAAAAAAATATCGAATCCAATGCACATCTTTTTACCAATAACTAGAGGCCAAAATTTGCCTGCGCATGAAAATGAAACCAAAACTGCATTGCAAAGTGTTTTACATCATAAGAGTCAGACACTGTGTCATCGCTATCAAATAATGGCCATGGACCACGAGGTTGTGCTACTGAGCTGTGTGCGTTGCAGTATGTTGCCTTGTCAGTGGTGTCCCTCTCTCATTATGATCACTGGCGTCAAGGGAAAATAATTTTGCGCGGTGAAAACAGCTGCGTTGCGCCCTTATGGGTGCGCAAGCCTGTGACTGCGAGTACGACAAAGGTAGGAGATCAACTGTATGTTGACCAGGAAAAGTTTCCCTGGAATGGAGACGTGAAAGTATCAGCTTTTCAGCCGGCTGAAGCTACTCTGTATGGATAGAGCTTGACTATATAACAACACCGGACAATAACGCATGCGATTGAGGCATATGTACAAGTGCATGAACTTCCAGAAGAATAAATGTTCTATTCTAAGAAAACATAATGTCTTGTTCTCCACTTTTCCAATCATCAACTTAGGGGAACGCAACTTTACATCTTGCACTTATGAATATTTGGTCCACATTTGATCCCGGTAAACGTGTTTTTTTTCTTTCGAACTGACTCTGAAAGCCGTCTGAGATGCGGGGTCGGCGTAAAACTGCGTTGTGAAACTAAGGCTTTTAATGCATTTCTATGGGGATACTGCTGGGACCAAACCGCTTCGTCTCAAGATGCGGGTTGTCGTGGAACCGGGGGACGCATAATCGAAGTCCCACTGTACAACATTTTCCATTGAGCACACAACTTCCCATTTTTAACTAAGATTTCTCGTGTGAGCTGATGACATGCCCTTTAAGGTTACTGCAATGCAGTAGGGGTTTCTTGAAATCCACCGAGTGAAATCTTTTCTGACCGTTGGCAAGCATTTGGGAACTTTTGCACACAAGCACTTAGTCAAGCTTTGGTTACGTAGGACTGGAACATACGCTATGAATCTACATAAGTTTTTATTGTCAAAATCTTTCTATTGAGAGCACCTAGACGGACAAAAAAAGAAAAGAGAAAAAGAAGTGAGGCGAGCAGGGGGCGCGAACGGGTCCTCCACGGCTAGTCCTTCAGCACCTTATTAAAGTTAATAAAGTTTGTTGTCTGTCTGCTGCTGCATTAAAAAAGTATGGTTGTCTTCCTGGGTTTTTAAGTCCAACTTCTTGTAGTTCCATGGCAGCTAGACAGAAGCATATATTACACTTAAACCTTGGTATAACGAACCTGGATGTAACAAACAGTCTGTTACATAGAAGTAAATGAAGAATGTTCTTGCAACAGATAGTGTTAGGAATATACTTTTATGACAAATTTTTGAATATAACAAACTTATTTTCATGTAAGCTGCAACCTCATTAAAATGGGGCTTGAGTGTATTGCAATAAGCTTTAATAAAAGCCTTAATAATGTTATGCTGCAGCCAAAGCACTTGTCATTACTGCAGTGGAATGATACCTGATTTTAAGCTGTTAATCTAGCATTACTGGTGTGCTGCCACCAATATTTGCAAGACTTTCTGAGAATGGATGTTTCTTTCATGCACCATGTGGTACATGCCTGTGGTGTGTTTTCATCATTTAACTTCGTGCATACATATATGATCACGGAGCAGTTGCATAGTGTTCCTTCTCTTCATTTTTCAGAGAGCTGTCTAAGTCTCATTAGGATGTGCTTGCAGAGATAATGTAACAGTGGATGCCAAAGGGGGCCTAATCTAATGTACTCTTATGTATTGGAATTAGACATTCAGTTTTTTTAATTCTTGGCATGTTTTGGCTAATATTCTCACAGCCTTAAGTTTAAGCCATTGGGTCATGCTACAGGTGTGATTGTAGTGCCTCTGTTATCGCTGCATGTCTTTACACGAAGCGTTGCACCAGTTGTTCCTACAGTGCCACGCTGGTCACTTAATTACAGGCCAGTCATCTTTCCTCACTCTTGAGCGGACCAGTGTGTAAAGATAAAGGGTACAAACAAAAGTGCTGTTGTTTGTCCCTCTTCTTTGTCTTTCATCTTTGCACACTGGTCCCCTAAATCTGTATTCGCACAACAAACATGATCTTGGAAGGATCAGCCACAGGACATGTGATGCGATTAAGATCCCTCCGCAACTAGCATTCACATGACAGGAGAATTCCACGCTACAAGCGAGGATTTCGACATTTCTCCCCGAGAGTCCCAATTACGATTTGGACCTCCATCCTTTCACTAATTACACCGCACTGACCGAAGCGGGAATGCAAGAATGGGTGGCGTATGGTGACATAGTACGCGATGCCCGTGGTCAAATTGCGATTTTCTCGTCATGTGAATTCAGCTCAACAAGTATGTAGCAATTAGCACAAGTCGTCACCCTGTTGCAACCTCTTTTCACTCCTTTTGGCAACCTTCTGTGTGTAGGTGGTCGTGACCAACACGGTTCCGCACGAAGTGCAGAAGATGCAGTGCCACAAGATCAAGACGGTGGACATCAGCGTGCTGCTGTCTGAGGCCATCCGGCGCATCCACCACAAAGAGTCCATGTCATACCTCTTCCGGAACGTCACGCTCGAAGACTGAGCACTCCTGTCCAGTTTCATTTTAAATGGTGAGTGTTGTGTGCGGGGGCTGTGTTCTCAGACCTGCTTCTCCTCTTACTTACAGTAATGCAGAGTAATGTTTAGGCTAGTTGGTCGGATTTGGCTACGTGGTCCGAAAGTAGAATATTGGCTCATGGGCAGGTGTGAAATATGCACACTGAGTTTCAGCTGAATTATTTATTTTGTAAATCAGGTGCAATAGCATGAGTCCTGAACCACACCTCTTCATGTGACAGCTGCTTGAGCAAAACTCCTGTCATGCTTTCAGAGGCTACTAATGTACTGTATTGTATCTCGGGGTTGAGGTCATATTTACGAAACGTAGCACCAACTTCCAACAGATTTGCTTTATAGAACAGGTGCTTTTATGCTATTTATTAGAGACAGCAAAACATTAGTAACAAAAAAAATTGAAATGATGCATTCAAACTGTAAGCTTTATAAACAAGATACAAGATCTATACCATGGCCATAAAATGAAGAGCTATTGCCAGCATAATGCGAGCGGCTGCTTGATGGGTACTATTTTTGTGCCACCATCGCAGATTAGGCAAGAGACGGAAAGCAAAGCTTGAAGCTTTCGAGTGATACTGAGATAGCATTGAGTAGGAGGAGGGATGGCATTGTGAAGATTCTGTGTTCCTTTCTTCCGATGTGTGTTGACAAAAAGAAATTATCTGTTTCTGGCACTTAGAGTGTTGTCTACAGCTATGTTGCTCTCATTCAGTATAAAGAAAACAGTGTGGACCCTGAAACGAATGGTACAAAAGTTAACGGCATATCCACGAAGTTCGTGATGACAAGTGGGCAAAGGAGTGGGATCGTTCAGTGTTACCGTAAATCCCCTGTGACATTGACCACTCATGCATGTAAAAGAGTGACAGAGCAGTGTACATTCAAGAAACAGTAGGAAGGAGAATATGCAAGCTTGCGATGAAAAGTTTCTAAACAGGGGTTATGTCGAGCCTCGACACAGCCCCTGTTTATGGGTTTTTCAAAGCAGTGTACAATTACATACAATGTTTATGTGTCATAAATGGTATGTTATGTTGAGTTGTGAATTTCGCATTGCCTTTATTATTACTGCTTTGTGATATCAGATCTAGCCGGAAGTTAGCAAAGATGAGGTCTGTGCATGTTCTCCAATGGTTATTAGTTGTTTCCAGTCATGCAAACTGCATCGTAGAACATGTCGAGACCTTGTATTCTGCACAAGCCAGTCGTCTGTGATCATCATTGTCATCATCTTCATTGTTATCAGCGTCATTGTCATCACAGCTACAGCGCACAACACCAACAACGCTAATGGACAAACCTCGACCTTCACGAGCTTCGCCCCTAAAAAAAGGCTGACCTTTTCTCTTTTCGTACTCTGAAGACCCATGACCCTCATGTTAATGCACCCACTATGGTTTGATTTCAATGGGCCTTTTCCTAGTCCAGACAAGAACTCAAGTGGGGATCACCGAAAATCGAAACTGGTGGCCCTTGGACTCCGAAATTATTCCCCGCATGCCGGTAGGGGATCTCAGAGGCCTGCATTCACACCTCTCTTTGGGGACGAACATTTGCATGTTTGTGGCACCAGATGTCGCTTGGTCCGCACATGTCACGTTTGGCCACCAACAATCACAACGCGTGCCTCCTCGAGGCCGGCGCGCACGCGCATGCTACCTATCCTGAAATGGTCCATTGTCCAGGCGTTGCACACTTACGCATATCTAAGTCTAGAGATTTAGCAGAAAATGCAGTGTGTTGCTATTATCTCCTATTGAAGAATCTTCATTGCATTTCACTTCAGACAGTAGTATGACGCACGTTCTGTCAAACAGATAATTGATCTTGAGTATCACGATAGGGTTGGTAGTGATAGTTATGAATGGGATGTGTGGTGGCCTGCGGGTGAGGGCTGTGTGGAAACTGCTCACGACTTCTCTTGTTTGCGTTGGACCTAGCTGCCAAAAATCGCGCGTGTGGTTGAATTTTGGCAATATGCTGACTGGTAGCACTGTACTACGAAGCTTTCTAGGGGAGTATCTCGCTAGAGTGGCCAGTTCTACTTGTAATAAGTGGATTCGATCTTTATTTTTTTACTGAGTTGCTTGTGGAGTTGCTTGTGAGGCTAATTTGGAATTTTCCAGCAATTGCAGTTATTTTAGAGGTGATCACATTCACTAACATCGCGTTTGTCATACACTGTAGCCCGTTTGTTGTTGAATTCAAGTAATTCAGGAAGCTAAACATGCATTGGGTGAAACAAGTAACATCAATCGAGCGCTGGCAAAGCGAGCTTCATCAAATGATTACTACTTTGGTAACAATGCCAAAATACAAATATGTGCTTTCGTTCATTGTTGCTCATATTTTCGTTGAAAATATTCAGTAATTTTTTAACCTCCCTTTGCATTTGACTGCTGTTTTTTTTACTATAATTAAAAATACTTTAAAGAGGAGAAAAATAGACTAATTTTTTACTTCTTTTTGTTTCTTTTTGTCGAAAGTTGCACTGCTTTTCTGGGTTCTTTCGTGGTGATTAATTCCTTGTTAGCTCATTTGCATTTGCCAACTCTGTATGCAACCTTAAAAAAAACGGAACTGAACTCTATTGGGTGTTATTTCTCTTGTTCTCAATTGTCAACACTGGCATCGGGAAATTGTTTAGAATGGAAACATGTGCCCCGCCACGGTGGTCTAGTGGCTAAGGTACTCTGCTGCTGACCCGCAGGTCGCGGGATCAAATCTTGGCTGCGGCGGCTGCATTTTTGATGGAGGCGGAAATGTTGTAGGCCCGTGTACTCAGATTTGGGTGCACGTTAAAGAACCCCAGGTGGTCAAAATTTCCGGAGTCCTCCACTACGGCGTCTCTCATAATCAAATAGTGGTTTTGGGACGTTAAACCCCACAAATAATCAATTAGAATGGAAACATGTAGAGAAGGTTGTGTGCGGTGCATGCTTACGGCTAGGTTTTTAGATGAATCTTTTCAACTTAGTGCCATCTGGTGCTAAGATATTTCTTTCAGGCGCATTGTTTCAGAATCTTGATGGCTTGGCAGAATATAGTACATACTAGTACATCCTTCCACTCGGTGATCTGTTAATGATGTTTAAATTTTGTCTTCCAGGCCATATACCAGATGCACAAGAGTTGAGCACTCGTGTTTGGTGCATTCCTATGATTATCTTCCGGTCGAACAGAGGTACTGTTTGTGAAGCCGAGCTTCAACAATGCCGGAAGCAGTTCTCCAGGCAGTGGCCATGCTCTGGAGCTTTCATGGCCTATTTTTTTCGTTAGTTTTATTTTTTGTCGTAACTACTATGTTCATATTGCTATAGGTGGTGCTTGTTTGAAGACTTGACTTCTGTATTTTAATTTTGTGTTCAGTTCTAAAATGTGGGCACAAGTTTCAATGTGGAGGCACTAGATGTGGTGTGATATCACCGCTGTTTGTAGTAGCTGAATCCTGCGTCGTGAAGAATTCCGCAACTGTATAACTTAGGTTCTCATGATGGGCTTCATGTAGCCGAACTCGTTATGTTTGTTTTGAACCACTACGGCATCTAAGGTACTTGTTTCGGAAGTTGAATCCGCGCACTGTCGCAGATATGTCAATGTATTACTGTTTTGATTTACCGTTAACTCCAAGTTGTCATTTCGCACCTTCTCAGGACTGTTTTAACTGGTGTAGTAACTTTATTGTTGAGCTGCTGGGGCAACTGTGGGAAAAATTTTGGCGATGGCAAATCATCAAAGATGGTGCCTTGCGTTGTTAAAAGCCTGAAGGACACCTATGGGTGGTGGCACGGTTTGAAGGCATTGGTATTTTGAACCTTCTTTCTGCAAAAGATTGTTTGACCGTGAGGTGTCATTTGCAGACATCTGATTTTTAACAAATACATACTTCGGTGCCACTACTTCTTCTTCCTGTGAAACTTGCGTGTTAAAAACTGTAGTATAATGTCACCATAAGGGAAGCGCTGTTTTGAGTTGTGAGGCCAAGTGTTTTGTTTTTTATTATGGCCTGTTTGAGTGCACACTCGACTTTTGTTAACTGAGAATAGACGAGAATGATCGAATTGTCTTGCAGGGAAGTTAATTGAAAAGGCAGCAATGTAGACTAATAACATCAACTCACTTGACGCTATATGCATTGATTGCAACACATCCAGGACCTGAAAAAGCAGTCACATCATGTTGGTTGAAGCTGAAGACACGTAAAAATGACTTGGAGCACCTTAAATACACTCAAAGCTCATTATAAAAATCTTGCAAAAATACGAGTTTGTTATATCCTAAAATTCGTTATAAAGGTTTTTTCTTAACACTATAATCGTTGCAAGACTATTTTTCATTCAGTACATTATAATCTATGTTTCGTTATTTCTGGGTTCATTATATTGTTACGCACAATCCATATGGTGTAAGAATAACTATTTATTGGGGGCTAACTTGTGCCCGAAAGGTAAAGGAAAATGTAGCAGCGTTTCTAACTGGCCATCTGCAAAAGGAATCAATCTCTGAGAAGACCTCAAGCGGTGCACCACTTCTTTCTCGTCAAAATCCCCTGCTGAGAAGGCGCACGCAGTCATGGCCTTTTCTTGTCTTATCATCGGGCCGCTGGTCTCTTGGGGGGGCGCAAGAACTAGCGCGCATAGTTTGAATAATGCGTCTGTCTTGTATCATTATCGAGTTTTGAGTATATTACAATTATTGATTTTATCCAAATATCTAGTTCACTGTGCTTGAAATAATGAGTTTCCTGTGTTCCAGTTGAAGACTCCCAAATCATAATGTTGTCTCAAGGCGTTTCGATGCCATGCTTTGTGCTTAGCAACGAGATAAACGAAATATTGAGCATTGGCATTTTAGCAGTGTTGCCGCATTTTGATGCATAGTATTGAGTAGTGTTGCCCAGGTTTGTTTTAGTGTTGGCCGCGGAGCACCGAGGTTCGGCCTGCTTTGCAAGGTGCTATCTACAAAGTATTTTTTCTGTTGCCTAAGTTGTATCTAAGGGCTGAAGTCCTTCCTGTTAACACGATATTTAGATTTTTTAAGTTATTTACTTCACCTGTTTATAATGAGTATTTTTTTTAGAATCTGGGCAGTGAATGTGGTTCCATATATAATAAAATCTAAAGTGCACCAAATATTTGAGAGTTCAAGGTGACAAAGCACGTGCATTTTGGTGCCAGTTTTGTCAAAAAAACTGTGCAATCGGTTTGAGTAAACATGGCACGTATTACTATAAACGCAGATAACTTTCAGAGTACAGCCAACAAAAGGAAGTTATGTCAAAGAAGCTGTCCAAGTTGGAGCTGTTTCTGTGCTTCAGAATCCTGTGTTTGAGACTAGAATGATGCAATGCTGGTATATGTTTTTATTAGTTTTGTTCATGGTTTTAGTGTTGTCATTTTCAGTATTGATACACAGCTGAATGCATGAAAAATAGTTTTTTAGACATGTTTTGTCCACCATTTTGCCAGTCATGTCCAAGCTTTTGTTTGGTGGTATTGAAAGCACCTGTTTGAAGCGGGCAGCTGTCTTATTGTGAATAAATGAATTCTACTCTGTTAATATTCGTTTCTTCTGCAAAACCTCACAGACATGTAGGAGATAATGAACCAGTTTTGAGCACTGCAAGAACGCTTTTACTGGGACTGCTTGCAAGCATCAAGGCGGTATGGTAGGATAATCATGTTGTCCTGGCTTTAGCTTTATATTTAGGGAACTGTAGCATGTGTGGTGAAACTTTAGGTGCACAATGAGAGAGAGTGTGGCCTTCAGTCTGCGCAATTTTGGCCCTCTAGCATTCTTTATTTGCTTTTGGTTAGGTACCCAATTCTAGACCGGCATAGAAAATAAATGCATCTTTTCTGAAAACCAAGCATAGTATGACCATGAAAATAGGCTCGCTTATTTGAACGTGATATTAACCCAAACCTGTAAAAAGGGATTCCTTATGAAAATGTCCTTTCTGCTGGATTATCCGATTATGGAGAACTTGTATTTAAAGGCCCAAGATCGAAATGGGTATCATAGAGCATTGGTTATGTGAAGTACGGGTATTAAAGAGCATTGAAACCAACATAAACGTAGTACGTTCGCAGACTGGTGAGTCAATCCACTTAGGCTCACTCAGACTCGAGTCAAGCAAAGAGTCTCAATCCAAGTGTATCCGGTCGAGAACAGTTTCGCTGAGCCCGAGTCTGTGTGAGCCCTCGGAGCCGAATGTATTTGTCGAATGAGCTCCAACGTTTTCGCTGACCTATGCCAGTTAATTCCCTCCTCCTCGACTAGCTTCTACACTATCTAAGGAGGGAAGATGTTTGAGGTTCGGAATGGGTCCCCTCGATGGCTCGAGTGCACGGTGGCAGCGTGAAGAAAGAGCCATAGTCCGGTGAAGAGACGCTTTATTGCAGCCTCAAGCGCCTGCCAGAGTCCAAGCCCGAACTTCCGCTTTTCTATTTCAGATTCAAACATCCTCTTTTCAACCCTCTGTTGAACAAAGAGTCTTAACACAAACCGATCACATGTTGGGATTCGAGTCATCACAACCAGTCGCAGAAACTCTTTCATAACAGGCACTACATTGGTAAAAACCACGTTACCAAATAATACACGCAAAGGGATAGATTCTCCGTGTGTGACACTCTCTCCCATGCCAGGCTGTGCTGCCTCCGTCGGCAGCCGTTCTCACGCTCGAGCCCCGTCAGCTCTCTCAATAAATGTTGCTTCGTAGAAGCCTCCTTAAGAGCGGCGAGTACACCGTTGGGCTCCGTGCGCTTACCAGGTGTGCATGCGACAGCTAGGCGCCCCGACATCCTAACAACACTCGGTAAAGACGCAGCGGGGGAGGTTATGCTCGTCTCCCTGCCGTCACTATGTCTCGGTGAGCCAAATGGTCGCGTCCCCGCGTCCTTCTCGATGGCAAGCGTGCATGCCAACAATAGCTTTAAACTCGGACAGCGGCGCCTGGCCTACTTCTTGCCAGACGCTCTTCCGAGTAAAGTGCCAACCACTGGCACGCGTTCGCTCGCGTCTACGCGTCAAAAGCGTCAAATGCGCCTCTCGGCGTCGGCTTCGGAGGGGAATACGCGAGCAGGCGCGAGGGATCAAGCCGGGCTTGATATTTCGCCTCGCGTACGCTACGTCACCACGCGTACAGCGGCGCCAACCAACCAGAGGCCGCGCGCCAACCAACCAGAGGCCGCGATGACTCCGAATGCTGTGCCTAATGGCCGCCGCTTCGAAGGCACAGCCGAGTGCTGAAAGCAAGCATGAAAACTACTCCTAACGTTCCTGAATGACCGCTTCGTAATCTAGAACGACAACGAAACGACGAACGACTGCGAGTGCTACCAGCGTGACGCGGTTTCGTGCCGAGTTCGAGCGACGCCGACAAATCCAGCGAATGCCGGCCGGCTATGCTAGCGCCGGACCCCTGTGCGATCGTCGGCCGAGCGAAAGGAGCATGTCGGTGTTCTTGTGCTTTCATCTGTGACTTTCTGTGCTAAAAACGAGTGCGAACATACTTCGGAGGTTCGAAGGTTTGAGCGTGAGCCCTCGCCTACCGCGGAGGCAATTCAGATCGGTGTCATCTGCATCCAGCGCAGGCCTCTACCATCTAGTTCGTATGAACCAGCACATGCGAGGCACATCGGCTGAAAAAAACTCTACGGTAGTTTCCGTCGCAACATAGACACCATATACGACGACCGAAATATCGCGTAGGTCATACGGAGGAGTTTTTATCTGCACTGTGTTTGTGTTTGTTTTCAACATCAATATTCATCATCGCTGAAAGCGAACCTCGCACTAGCCAACACATTTCCGTGATGTGAAAACGTACGTACTTATATAAGTGTATTCGCGAATTGTATGACGCGGAAACATTCGTTGGCTTCGGTGCTAATCGTTTTTGTGTGTTGCCAAGCTAATCATAAGCGTGCGCTGGTTGGTAGCAGTGAGATGCGACTTCGTGTCGGGTACCAGCGACGCTGACACACTGGGCTGTCAGCGGTCTCATTTCCATTCACGTACAAGACAGAAACTCGAGCGTGCGTCGCTGTGGTGATCGAAAAAGAAAGTTGCATGATTAAGTGCTGCTGGTATTGCCTGCTATTTCACTTCTCGCTTCTTCTGCTTCTGTGCTACGCTCAGTAGCACATACGTTGTTTGGAGGCATTCTAACACACACATTCTTAATTTGTAGTTCATTCTGATACTCATAGCTATAGGCATACAATGGCGCTTCTCCGTCATTTTACAGTTTACTATAACATAACGCGCGATCTGTTTACAGCTGGACAGATAACTGAAAACCTTGTGAGAAGCACCTGATTTGAAATCAGCTGCACGATGACACGATTGTGGGAAGAGAAGATCACCACATGTATGCACAGAATGAATGAAGGTACACTAGTATGGTACTGCACTTTGTGTAGAAGAAATGCAAAAAGTACCTCATGTGACTTATGAGTCCTTTCAGAGCTGTGCTTGTATTTATCTGTGCCTCCAGACTGTAATGAGCTCAATATATTCGATGGTTCTGAACATTGAATATTTGTATGTGTTTCCAAGGAGTCCTTCATTTCTGTTCGGTTTTTTAGTATATGCATTAACTTGGATTATATATACGCATTCACTTAAGCATATTCTGTGTAGTTCTGTTGGAAAACTTGCCAAAACTTCTTTACGGTGCTCTGGTGCAATCCTTTGATCAGTATCTGTCCCATCAAAAATTTTTGGCATGCTTTATTGCATTATAGTGTATTTTGACAATTAATGACATGCTAAAGCCACAGTGCTTGGCTGTAATCTCAAAACCAATGTCTGTCTCATCAAGAAGTGTCAGATGCATTTTGTAGATGTTAAAGGATATTTAAACTACCAGCAAAGTGCTGAAGTCTTCAACACAGCACTGATCCGCAATCACCACCCAGCTTAGAAGTCATTTGTAGAGTTCTCTAACACGTTCAAATAAAGTTATCAAACACTGGATTGATCTACTTGGTTTGATTCCTAATCCCAGTGTGTCTGACTTTTTGGAGGCACTTGTATTATAATAATGTCCTATTTCTCTCATTTATTACAGGGGTGCACTCAAGGGTAGTGATATTTGTTTACCTTGGCACACTTAATGTGATATTACTGTTTATATTCTTTCATTTTGTATATATGTATGCCACTTTTGCAGTAGCCTCACAGTGAGCAGCTGTATTTGAAAATAAATAAATATACCATCCGAAAGTGTTCAACGCTGTGCTCGGTTCCAATCTAGTCGCTAATATCTGTTGCATCGTGATGTGTCGGGTATATTTATTGCATTGGAGAACATTTTGGCTGCCTTCCATGCAGGGTTCAGTTCCAGTATTATGACTGATATCTGTGACTTCATGAAGAGTTAGACGCGGTTTGTCGTTTTAGAGAATACTTTAACTACAGACAACATCCAGAAGTCTTTCCTACAAGGTTCAGTTGCAGCCCTATGGCCAATATCTGTCTTATTATGAAAACTTCAAGTACAGTTAGTTGCATTAGAGCATATTTTGACTACAAAAAATGCCCAGAGGCATTCTACGTAGTGCTTGGTTCCATTCTTATGACAGTATCTGTTGTATCATTAAGAGCCAGATGCGGTTTCTTGCATGACAGGATATTTCCAATACGCTTATCATTCAAAGCCTGATAACATTGACTTTATGAACAGTTGGGTGCGGTTTGTCATTTTAGAGAATAATTTGACTAAAGAGAACGTCCAGAAGTCTTCCATACAGGGTTCCGTTCCAATATTATGACTGATATCTGTGACTTCATGAACAGTTCGGTGTCGTTAGTCGTTTTAGAGAATACTTTGACTAAAGATAACATTCAGAAGTCTTCCTTACAGGTTTCAGTTCTATAATTATGACCGATATCTGTGACTTCATGAACAATTGGGTGTCGTTTGTCGTTTTAGAGAATACTTTGACTAAAGACAACGTCTAGAAGTCTTGTATTAAGGTTTCAATTCTAATATTATGACCGATATCTGTCACTTCATGAACAGTTGGGTGTCGTCTGTCGTTCTAGAGAATACTTTGACTAAAGACAACGTCCAGAAGTCTTGTATTGAGCTTTCAGTTCTAATATTATGACCGATATCTGTCACTTCATGAACAGTTGGGTGTCGTCTGTCGTTCTAGAGAATACTTTGACTAAAGACAACCTCCAGAAGTCTTGTATTAACGTTTTAGTTCTAATATTATGACTGATAACATTGACTTTATGAACAGTGGGGTGCGGTTTGTCATTTTAGAGAATAATTTGACTAAAGAGAACGTGCAGAAGTCTTCCATACAGGGTTCCGTTCCAATATTATGACTGATATCTGTGACTTCATGAACAGTTGGGTGTCGTCTGTCGTTCTAGAGAATACTTTGACTAAAGACAACGTTCAGAAGTCTTGTATTGAGGTTTCAGTTCTAATATTATGACCGATATCTGTCACTTCATGAACAGTTGGGTGTCGTCTGTCGTTTTAGAGAATACTTTGACTAAAGACAACGTCCAGAAGTCTTTCAGTGCAAGGTTCA